CTTGGTCTTGTGTAGCCGGAATTATCTTCTCTGTCACTTTACTATAAGATTACCCAAAGTAGAATTCTGTTTTTATTCTTAATGATATTACGTTAGCATTAACTTGCAGCTGGGGTTCTTATATGGTTTGACCCTTTTCCTGGTCTTGAGTAGTGTCATTAACTTTTCTTCCTCGCCACCAAGGAATTATTTTACACAAATGCATTGGCAGTCCCAAACTGCAGCTTTGACTCGCAAGCACATGGTTACTAATTGTTCCGTTATCTTCAAGTGTGCCCAAAATATCCTCCTAGGGATAATTGTCCCCAGTTTATGGGCCACTGGCTTACAAGGAAAGAGCTGAAATTGAATCTAGTGATTTGACTAGCTGTCCCTTTCTTATCAGGTTAGGAGAGGATACATGAGAAATAGATAGCGGGGTCTTTATAAATAGCATTTGGCTGAGTATGCATTATCTTCCACAAACTATTCCAAATCAGACATTGACCACTACCTTGCCAAAAAGCAGCATGTGTTCACTAAAAGGAACAAACACCGATAGCAGTAGATCGGAATATGTTGTGTGGTAGACACAATCACGTGAACGAGTTACTTTAAGTATCCCAGTTTTCAAATGGTCTAAAGCCAATGTACTTCAAATGCATAGAATCCATGATATTCATTTTAGACAGAAGGGGAAAATAACAGTACCTCTTTCAATAAGCAAAGTCCCAGCAGAAAATGAAGGACAGCTATCTGCTCCTTGATTAAATGTAATAAACCAAAGATACATAAATGTAATGGACCCAAGACAATGGAATGTCACAAAAATTGTCTTGCATATCTCAGCATATCCAGCAGTAGAAATAATTATCAAATGAGTAGGGCAACCTTTGGTAGAGGTTTTCAGGAACAGTTGGGTTGATGTTTTGACGTCCTGAATTAAATAATGGGAATGCCTAATTTTCCTATTGTTGGCATCTCTTTGTTAGTTGGATAATTTTGAACTGGATAAATTGGTTGTGTGATTTCAGGTTCACCTTCCTTATGAGAAAACAGTTATAAGCCCTCCATGGCATGGAAAACCTGGATGTGCAGAAGGATTTTCTCCCCTTTATAAACCTTAGGATTAAGTGTCATCCCATTAAGATTAATTGGAAAATGATTTAAAACAAAAAGTATACTTAACTCTATGTAGTAATTAACCCATGGACTTCATTACCACAGTATATAGTGATGGCTGATAACCTAAATGGCTTGGAAGGAAACAAGTCTGTACGAGCAAGTCTGATCAGATCTGAAGATTCGTTGTTTGTTCCATTTGAGGGACATTTGTTTCTAAATATTAGTTTTAGGAGACTAGCTGCCTCTGCTTATAAACACCCCAAAAATATCTATGAAGCCATTCGGAGAAACAGTGTTGGAACACAATTTCCAGTTCAGAAAATTTATTGCTCAAGGCTATGCACAAAGTAAAGGTAAAGGTTCCCCTTGCACATAACGTGCTAGTTGTTTCTGACTCTAGGGGGCGATGCTCATCTCTGTTTCAAAGCCGAAGAGCCAGTCCGAAGACATCTCCATGGTCATGTGGCCAGCATGACTAAACGCCAAAGGCGCATGGAATGCTGTTAGCCTACCACCAAAGTGGTCCCTATTTTTCTACTTGCATTTTTACATGCTTTCGAACTGCTAGGTTGGCAGAAGTTGGGAGAAGTAACGGGAGTTCACCCCGTTATGTGGCACGTGAACTGCCGACGTTTTGATCAACAAGCTCAGTGTCTTAGCCACTGAGCCACCGCAAGAGTCTGGTCAATTATTGGAAGGCAATAAATTGGCACTAGATAAGAGTTAATAGAATTCAAGTGGGGATAGACTTGGTGCATTTGTGGTCACATAATGATTCTAGGCTGAGTCCTCTCTGTCTGCTCTTCTCCTTGTCTGTTTTATGTATTAATGGTAGGAAACCAGATCAGTTTTTTTATATACTGTATATAGCACTAGCATTAACACTTAGACTTATATACCACTTCACATTGCTTTACAGCCCTCTCTAAGCAGTTTACAGAGTCAGCATATTGTCCTCAACAATCTGGGTTCTCATTTTACCTATCTTGGAAGGATGGAAGGCTGAGTCAACCTTGAGCCTAGTGAGATTTGAACTGCCAAATTGCAGCCAGCCGGCAGTCAGCAGAAGTAGCCTGCAATACTGCACTCTAACCACTGCACCACCGCTGTTCATATATTAGAAAGTATTCGGGAATGTGATGGAAACTGATTTAAATCAGCTTGGCAACACATCTTTTCTAATTATAGTTTGGTTTGTATTCAGAATATGGACCAAATCTGTACATCCTTTGTTGGGGTAAGTTAGTGGATTTGTTAATGCCAAAATTTGGACCATTTAGGCATTTTATTAGCATACATTTGGATGTGCTAACATTGTAGGTAAATAAAAAATATTTAAGTGTGACTAGACATATGTGACATTCCTGTGGCCCATATCCTGTGTAATTCAGGGTTAGTTTGCAGTCTGAAACTTTCCTGTGGCCTCATAAATTGGAGCCCAGAAATGCAGAAAGAAGAACTTTTAAGAAAAATAAACCTAATTTATGATCATGAGTAAAGTACAAATATGTTGGCAAAATTAAAGACCTGGAATCCAACATGAATCATTATTACATGAACGGTGGCTAAAAGAACAGATAAAATTGTTGAGCAATTGAATGTCTTTTTTCAAAATAAAGATAAAATAGTTTTATTTCAATAGGATATAGTAATTACATTCTCACCAATGTTCTGTATCTCATTATGGCACTATAATGTTTTTAAGTAAACAAAAGTCCATGAACCGTACTTGAAATTAGATAGGATAGGAGCCCATGCATGATATAGTAGGAAGTAATCCCACATTGGCAATCTGCATGGAAAGGATAATCTGTTTTTTCAATTTTTCCTTTCATTTAAAGTTTTTGTATGGTGATACCATTCATGAACTTGTACTGTTTCATTTCTTAGCCAAAGAGTCTGCAGATGTGAATAGTTTGGTTAGAATCTTTCATAATATCCATATTGCATGGAAGGCTGGTTTCTAACTTTTATTATATATTATTATGTTACATTGGCAATCATTAACTTTATTCTCTTTCCTTGTGTTAGAATGCTTTACTCAAATCCTAAAATTAATTCAGTTTGCCCAGTGTACACTGGATTGGAGCTAGCAAATTAACTCCTGTAAATAAATAATATATATACTTTTTGTGTTGTCCGAAATTGCAAGTTCTAAAGTAGTGGGAAAATACCATCTTTCTCATTCTATCTGGTTTGAATGAAACAAAATTGAAATAACTTTGTATTTTTAAATTGTACATATATAAGACATGAGAAGATCAACTCAAGTTCAAAGGGAAAAAAAGATTTGAAAGGGGACATTTAATTTTGATTTATTGTCAAAGAGGTTTAGTTTTATACTTAGGGTTTTGATACCAACTAAATGAACTGTTATGTGAAATAACAATTTCATCTGGCTTAGATCCTAAGATAAGTAAACTTAAAGGAATTTACAAAGGAATGTTTGCATTCCCTCAGCTGTTCTTATTCTATCTAGCAATCTTTCTTTGGAAAGTTACCTTTTGGAAGAAATATTGTGTCCGTAAATACCTTTAGTAGAGGAGAAGATACATGTCCAAAATCAGATGTGAAGTTTTATAATAAGTTGGCTGAAGAAAATTTACAATAAGGATGTTTCTGCACTCTTCCTTTCCCCAATACTCCAATCTGGTTCTCTTCAAACTTTTGATCAGTTCAAGGAACTCCATGGAGAAAGAATACAAGATGCAATAATTATTTTCTGTGAGTTGATTCACATCTTAATAACCAATTTCTACATGCAGGTTGAAAACATTTGGATTTCTTGGACCTTTTCTTAAAGAATTGAGTTGTCTAATTCAGGCGTCCCCAATCCCGGCCCTGGCATGCCAGAAACCCAGGACATGCAAATAAAGAAATCCCCATCCGCAGGATGCAGGTGGCTTGCGAAACCACGCCTCCTCCAGTCTGTGGAAAAGCCTCTCTCCATGGAACCAGTCCCTGGTGCCCGAAAGGTTGGGGGCCACTGGTCTAATTGGGGTTTTTCTTGAACCCAGTGCAAAATAACCAAGAACTTGTAGTCTTCAGTTTCTGCTTACTTAGTTGACATGCAAGTCCTGCAATGATAAGTTTTTATCAAATCCTGTGATAATTATATGATTGCTATGATCAATTTACACTTTATTGTATTTTATGATATATTTTGTACATCAACTATAATGAATAAATAAGAGCATTGCTTGTCTCTGGAAATCTACTGTGATCCTGATAGCAGAGGATTGACTTTTCTTCGGATATACATGAAGTTTCTGGTACCCACAGAAACAGACTTACACAACCTAGATGGTTGTGCTTGCGAACTGGGGCAAGGAGTTATATGTTTGTTAATGCATTTCCAATTTGACCATTATTGGTAACCCAGCCTCCTAGTTCAGCTTATTATTCTAAGACAGGGATTGTTTTCTAAATGTCTTCTATAAATTTGCATTTGAATCTTTAGGTCCTTGTGTTTGGTTTTCATTAAAAAATTATGCCAAGATCATGACACCTTAAAATGTATGGAAATGCATGAGTGATAGACAAACTGTGGCTTATTTATAATACATAGTTGATTAGTCTAACATTGTAAATTAAGTAAACCAAGCTATTCCATGTGTTATGAACCACTGGGCTGGTTTCACTAAACAACCTTAGCTAGAAATGAATAGATTAGGTTTTGGTTTAGTATAACATCTGAACCTGGTTGATTTCATGTACTGTTCACTCCATCCTAAGAGGATCTTATGCCTTTCCCACAGAGTCGTTTCATTATAAGAATACAGTATTCTTTTCAAAGTTTATATCACTTTGAAATGTTTGTCATTCTTCTTCTTGGCTCTCATGACTCTGTTCTTAAAATGTGAATGAAAATGAATAATGCTTATATTACTTTGCAGTTGAACGAGGGAGGCAAAGCAGCTAATGCAAATGTCGGAATAGGTGATGTGGTCCTTAGCATTGATGGGATAAGTGCAGAAAGTATGACTCACCTGGAAGCACAAAATAAAATCAAGACCTGCTCGGGAAATCTGGTTATGAATCTGCAAAGGTAATTATCGTGATTGTTGGTATTACCATGACTATTATTGAATAACATCACCTTAGAAGAAAAAAAACATGCATTCTTCTTTCCCGGAATGCTTATGCTTTTTCTCTAACCTTGATTGTACCCTTTGTTTGTAATAATGAGAGCTTTGTATGGCATCATCAATTTATTATTTAAAAAAGAATCAAACAGCTGTATGATGCAAAATTGCAAGGACCTATGTTATACCACTTGCATCTATTTCCCAATCCTGATAGAGAACTAAAATGTCATCTAACTTAGCTTTATTTATAACAACTCTTTAAATTACATATCCATTGTTTCTTCTTTAAGTTCCTAAGAAAAATATTTTTAACATATTACAAAAAATAAGATTGGTAAACATAGACCCTCTTTAAAATATTCGGCTTCTAAGTCTCTGTGTGACAACTATGAGAAAACCTTCAGATGTACTCTTATTAGTTTCCTTTAAAATTTAATAGTCTTAACACTTCTCTGTATTTTTAGCCAATGATTTGGTTCTGTTTATTAAGGGTTAGTGGTAGAATGCATTCTTTAAGTACAGAATTTAAATCAATATTCTAAACAGAAGAACAATGTTTGATACCGTATGAGACTCTATCCTTGTGATTTGAAAAATAGTATGAACTTATGCAGTGAATTGAATTGTACATCCCAGTGACATATAAGCTATCATTAGGAGTTCTTATTCCAAGAAGTTTTCTCTCCATTCCGCTGGCCATAAAGGATCATATAAAATAAAGCACTTTCAAGGAGGAAATAGATCTACTGCAATATTCTTCCAAGAAAACCAAATGGACATACATAAGGAGGACAATGTCAACATCAAAGTCTCCCTCATTCAGAAGATATCCAACGAGTTTCTGGGGAGGACAGTATAGGCCAAGGGTCTTCAAACTTGGCAAGTTTAAGATTTTTGGACTTCAACTCCCAGAATTCCTGAGCTAACATGATTGGAGTAGGAATTCTGGGAGTTGAAGTCCAGAAGTCTTAAAGCTGTTAAGTTTGAAGAGCCCTGGCATAGGCTGTCATGTAGGCTATCTTTAATAATATTGCAAAGATGCACATTGTCGGGGTTCCAAGTAACATACCCACAGCAAACAAAACTCTGAGGCAGGTAGATTTCTCAAATAATAATTATATTGGCACAGGCTGGGGAAAACCGACTCTGACACTTTCCCAAAACAATCAGTCACATGGTCCAATCATGTTACTCTCCAGTTGCTAGGCGACTCCAGTCCCCTCCTTCCGAGCACCTGCAATAATGTCCTTGGTTCCCAAGATAAAGTTTTGGCTACAACACCCCAACTATCTCTGTTCCCCTCTCCCTGTCTCACTTCAGTTTGTCAGCGCTGAAATCTCAAAATGGCCTCAGTCAGGCCAGCTTCAGAGTTGACACATCTATTACTAATACGTAGAATGTTGGAACCATAAACCAGGACAAACATGATGTTGCCAGAGCAGAAATGTCAACACTGAACATGGACATTCTGGAAATCAGCGAACGGAAAAAAATTTCAAATGGCAGATCTACCGCAGACAAGAAAAATACAGCAGAAATGAAGTAACTATCATTATATATACAAGTGATAAAATCAGTGTTTAGATATGTTAGAATGATTAAAAAGTACGATAAGATGATCTTAAAAAATTTAGAATAATCTCAAATTTGATTCCAAGAGAAGCCAATTGGTATCATGCTGATTCAAGTTTTGTATTGAACCCACAGATATGAAAAAAGGGAAGTTGAAGTGTTCTATAATAACTTGTCAACATCACACCAAAAAAACCCACAGCATGTTCATTATATGAGACTGGGTGCTAAAGTTGGAACTAGAGTAGCACTGAAATAATGGAAACATTACGTTTCTATGTATAATATGAAGCAGGAGACAGGCTAACAGTTGTGCCAAGAAAATTCAATATTTATAGCAAATACTTTTTCCCCAACAACCTAAAGCTGAGTTGATACCCCACATCAACAGATGGATGACACCAAAATAAAATTCATTATGTACTCTGCAAGAAAAATGGAAGAATTTCATTAAGTCAGCAAAAACAAGATTTAGTACTGCCTGCGGTTCAAATCACACTGCTAGATCTTTTTTTTTTCTCCTTGAAAATATATTTTTAAGTTGTAATTTTGCAAGGGGTTTGTGATCTCAGCCTTATTGAAAAATTACAACTTAAAGAAAATCATCAAACCAACATAATACGATGGTTTCCCTGAGAAAATGTGTTGAATGTATTTAAAGGGTGAGATCTTAAAGGGAAGCAAACCCAAATTGCAGATGTGCAAAAAAGAAAAGAAGCAAAACGGTTGTTTGCTGGTAGGTTAAAAGTATCCTGCGCCCTTCAAAATGGAAGCAAAAAGATGACAAGGGGAGGAGGTGTCAAAACAAATTCATATTCAATAAATTTTATAGAATACTGAGTTTCAGAAAGGAACAGGAAAGCCCAAGAAGGTACAGCTAAATGAGCAAAATAAAAACATGAAGGATAACAATCCAATTAATAGGAGATACCTTATGGAAAAATGGGAACAGAAATATTTAAGAAGAGGATAGAAAGAAGAGATGGTATAAATATATGGAAGAACTATAGAAAAAATGACAGATATGAATTATTACTGATTTAGGATGGGTCATTATAAAAAGTGAAGTTAAATGGACCCTATAAAGTGGTGCTAACAACTGCAGTAATTTTATTAAGTACTGATCAAATTGTTTAAACTTTTCAAATTGCATAGATTTGTATGGTGTGCAAAATAGAGCAATGCTCTAGGGATGCAAAAGAGCAATTTAAATTTCAATTCCAAGTATTGTCTCTGCTAAAAACTACAAAATAATTGTACTTAGTCTGCATTTTGTAGGACAGAGCTCAAGAATTTACAGTGCAGACAACACATGGAATGAAAACTGACAGATGTTATATTCAGAAAATACAGACAAGGGAAATCCAAAAAGAAATGTGTCCATTGTTTTACTGATGATATATAAACACTTACATAGACCAAAACAGATTGACTAGTCCTTAAAAACCTGATCTATCATACCACTTCATTTGCCTGTTGAACAATCTGCATGATGACCAGGAAGCATCAACTAGAATAAAGAACAACTAAATTGTTCAGAATTGGGAAACATTGTCCACTTGTTCAATTAATATACACGCAGACTATAAGATGAGAAATGCTTGAGTAGAAAAAATAGCAATTGGAATTAAATTGTTGGGAGAACAACTTCAGACATGCTGGATATTACTGAGACTGGAAGTGAAGGACGCCTAAGGAATCTCTGATTAAAGATAAATCGAGAAAGTACAGAAATGATCTATTGTTCAGTATTTTTTTAAAAAGATTCATCAGATAAATAATAGGCTTATTTGATCAAAAATAATAATTGATCTCTTGAGTCTCTAGCCATAGACCAGGAGTGTCAATCTCGATTTCATCAAGGGCCACATCAGGGTTGTGTTTGACATTGGGGGACTGAGGTGGGTGTGGCCAGGGTAGATGTGGCCAGTTCAATGCCACTCATGTTGGGGCATCTGCGGTGGCCCGAGCACTCTGCCAGCAAAAACAGGTCCTGAGCTCCATTTTCAGCTGTGACAGCCTCCTACAACCTTCTGCCAGCGAAAATGAAGCTCAGGAGAGCCCCCCCTCCCCTAAGCTCCATTTTTGCTAGCAGCGGCACTGCAGGCTGGTCCTTTACTGTTTATAGGGTGGCCCGCAGGCCAGATCTAAGCACCCCACTGGCTAGCTCTAGCTCCTGGACCTTGAGTTTAACAACCCTGCCATAGACTGGGTTGACCTGAAGCATGACTAAAAAGAGATTTGGTATTACAGTTCTTATGAATCAATTATGTAATCAATTACATATCAGCTATTGAACTAGTCAACTACAATTTAGACTGTCAATATATACCTCACCAGAAATATCTTCTGAAGCTAGTAGACCATCTTTTGAAGTAATACTTTCAAGAAGTATCCTATGGAGTTAGCAGCTTAGAGATTTTCTTCTCTAGCATCAGGTACTTGATCCTGAAAAACCCATTTACTGCAACAAATAATCTTTATGGAGGACTTTTAAATACATTCTTTCTGTTTTATTTCTATCCTTGTAAGAATCCATTCAGTCTGCAGTAATGAAGGATTTGCCAACCCAAAATACATGAATTCAACTCTATTCATTACATGTGATATCCACTGAGATTTGCAGGAGGAATTAAATTTCTGCTGAAAGCTAACTTCTGGATATCTAAGAAGCACAGTGGAATAATGATGATTAATATGGGGTCAGAAATAACAGAAACTAGCTTTTAGTTTTTTTATTTGATGGCTAGTTTAGCAAACCCTTGGACGGTTTTTGTTATTTGATAGAAAATGAGTCAGTGTTTCACCCCCGTACAGGATGTGACTCACTAGTGACTGCCACCTTGCAGCTGGAGTAAAGATTGTACAGAATTAGGCTGGTAAAGATCAAATGAAGAGTCCTTGGAATCAGACATGGCATCTTAGCTTTGTTTAAGAGGGAATGATGTCTTATGGTCTTAGGCCAGTTTCCAATCTTATATTTTCCATCTGTTTTTAATCCTTTTTTGTATCCAAGAGGCATTTGACAATGTATTTTTGTAGCTGTGCCTATGCAGTATTTTTCTGCTACCACAGATAGATAGTAAATGCTTTCAGCAATTTTTACAAACCCAAGTAATTCAGAAGATCCGGCCTGAGAGGCTGCCTTAAATATTATTGACTGTTCATAGACTGTAGTTCATTTCATCAGATGCGCCTGATATATTTTTTATAGTTCATGTATGTTTTTTATCAATTATTTTTCTGAGTGTCCACTAAAATTGTTCTACATGTAAGCCCTGTTTGTTGCCATATTTCATTTTTTACTGACCTTGATTGAATTTTTATAAATTTATAATTATTTATTAAATTTCTGACACCTTACTCCTACAGATTATATGCCTATTGG